TTAGGGTTTAGGGATTAGGGATTAGGGTTTAGGGTTGAAACCCAAAGCTTGCACCCACGCATGCTGACGCGCACCCTCTGTGCAGCCGTCCACGCCGCCGGCCAGACGCCCAACACGCCGAAGGAGTCACCTGCAGGGTCCAGGTTTCAGCCCTAAACCCTAAACCCTAAACCCCAAACCCTAAACCCTAAACCCTAAGGTTCAGGGTTTGGGGTATCAGGGTTCAGGGTTTGGGGTTTAGGGTTCAGTTTAAACGGTTTGGGGTAGTTTGAACGGTTTAGGGTTTAGGGTTCAGGTTTATGGCTTTAGGGTTGAGGGTTCCGAGTTTAGGGTTCAGGGTCTAAGGTTTAGGGGGTCTAGAGTTTAGGGTGTTAGGGTTCAAGGTATAGGGCTCAAGGTTCACGAGGGCTTGGTGTTTAGTTAGGTATCACCCTAAACCCTAAACCCTAAACCCTCAAGGTTAGGGGTTTCATTATCAGGGCTCGGGGTGTATGGCTGGATTGGCGTTCGCCTGGCGCGCAAGTTAGTGCCCCAGGCTGCAGGGTTTGTATCAGGACTAGGAAGCAGCTGCAGAGGCACAAAAAGACCCGAAACCCCAAATAAACCCGGGTCGCTTTTTCGGGTTTAGGGTTTGGGCTTTAGGTTTTTCTTGTGTTTTTTAGTGTTTTTTGGAGGCGGGGTGGGGGGAGAGGGCTTAGTACGAAACCCCTTAACCAGGGCACGAAGGGATGAGATGGCCAGCTGCACCGCCGAGTAGACCTCGGCCGTCGGGCCGCAGGGTTGGCGACCCTTTGCTTGGGTTTAGGGTTTAGGGTTTAGGGTTTAGGGTTTAGGGTTTAGGGTTGAGGGTTGAGGGTTGAGGGTTGAGGGTTGAGGGTTGAGGGTTGAGGGTTGAGGGTTGAGGGTTGAGGGTTGAGGGTTGAGGGTTGAGGGTTGAGGGTTTAGGGGTTAGGGGTTAGGGGTTAGGGGCTAGGGTTCAGTTCAGGGTTCAGGGTCCAGGGTTTAGCGTTTAGGGCTTAGGGTCTAGAGTTTCGCCCAAGCCCTCAACACCCAGAAAAACCGCGCCAATATGCCTGAAGCGTTCTGACAGGTAACCAAACCCGCAGCCGCCCGCCCCCCCCCACCCCCGCCCCGTAATTTTTTACCAACTTTCCTGGAGCCTAGACCCCAAACCCCAAACCCCAAACCCCAAACCCCAAACCCTAAACCCTAAACCCCAAACCCCAAACCCCAAACCCCAAACCCTAACCCTAAACCCTAAACCCTAAACCCTAAACCCGAAACCCTAAACCCTAAACCCTAAACCCTAAACCCTAAACCCTAAACCCTATCTAGGGGCCACGCCTGGGGCTGCCACATCACGGAATCCATGGTGTCCTCATCCTTGTCGGCTCGTGGCTTAAAAGGGCTCTGGGGCGCGAAGCGGTTTAGGGTTTAGGGTTTAGGGTTTAGGGTTTAGGGTTTAAGGGTTTAAGGGTTTAAGGGTTAAGGTTTAAGGTTTAAGGTCTACGGGTTAAGGGTTTAGGGCTTAGGGTTTAAGGTTTAGGGCGCGAAGGTTTGTGACAGGGTTTATAGGCTTCAGGGTTCAGGGTGTAGGGTTTGTAGGGTTCGGGGTGGGCTTTAGGGAAAAGGTTTAGGGCTTGGAGGGTGCATTTCAGGTTTTTCCTGTAGATATCAGACAATTTGGTGAGTGCATACATTGTCTTGGGGGCTCCTTTTTTGGGACCTCAGATTTCATCACAGAGCTGGGTGCCAAAAAAGCCGGCTTTAAGAGATTAGGGCTTAGGATACGGGGCGCCTCTTTTTTCTGGACTCCTTACGCACAAAGAGGGATCCTCATTTAGAGAACCATATATATATATGTATATATATATATATATACATACTATGCATACATCTATATATATATATATATATATATATATAACTAAGGTTTCATAGCCCCACTCCCACACACATCCGGCAGTGAGGGTCCTCGGCGTCCGACACGACGAGCGCGCTGATCCTGGGCCAAGCCCGCGAGGAAAATGCCACCCCCCCCCCCCCCCCCCCCCAGGGTTTAGGGTTTAGGGTTTAGGGTTTGGGGTTTAGGGTTTAGGGTTTAGGGTTTAGGGTTTAGGGTTTAGGGTTGAGGATTTAGGGCCTGTTTAGGGCCCCGTCCCCTCACGCACGGTTGATGGAGGCTGAGAGCTAGAAGGCCACCACGCCCCGAATCCCCAAAGCCCTTCAACTTAGAGGGTTTAGGGTTTAGGGTTTAGGGTTTAGGGTTTAGGGTTTAGGGGTTAGGGTTTAGGGTTTAGGGTTTAGGCCCAACCCCAAACCCCAAAAGTCCCACTACGGCCCACGCGATGACCGGCCAGGTAGAGGCGGCTCAGGCGAGACACGTACCTCCTGCCATCAGAACTTAGCGACAATGTCTTTCAAGGGCTGAGTAAGGCTGAGGGCTTTAAGGTGTTTAGGTTTGGAATTTAGAGGTTAGGGGTTTTGAGTTTGAGGTGTCGGGCTTGTGGTGTAGCACGGGTTCTAGGCCTTCAGGGTCTAAGGGCTTGGGGGCGGCTTACTATTGGACATTGAACTGTGCATTATGGGGTGGAGGTTCAGATTTTCGGTTCAAGGGCTCCGGTCACGGAATGTGCGGGTGTGTGCCGCCAACGTCACTCGCATGCTGTAGTTGGGCATGTTTCGAAAAATAATGGCGCCCCTTATACATCCCTAAATGGCATACAATCCCCGTTTACAAGCAGCCCCTCCCGCCCCCCCCCCCTCCCCACTGGTACCACCCTGCTGTTGAAAGCACTCGACATCACACCCCAAAGGCTAAAACTCGGGCCCTCCAAACCCTCCCAAAACCCTCCAAAAACCACCCAAACCTCACTGGCCCAGTCCTGCACACGGTAGCCATGCACCTGGGGTGGTTCATTGGCTTGTGGCTTCCAAGCACGTGACAATCCGCGGCATCGATAGGAACCCCCAAAAGGTCGTGTGTTTAGGGTTTAGGGTTTAGGGCTAGGGTTCAGGGTTCATGGTTCAGGGTTTTGGGTGTAAGGGTTAAGGGCTACGGGTTAAGGGTTTAGGGTTAGGCTTTAGGGTTTAGGGCTACTAGACCCAGCCTCCAGTGGCAGCACGCAGTCGGGTGCAGTTGGCTGAGCCTGTCTAGGTGTCGGCTCTGCCATTCGGATACATCTGAACCCTAGCCCTAAACCCTAGCCCTAAACCCTAAACCCTAAACCCCTACATCCTAGACCCCAAATCCCAAATCCCTAAGCCCTAAGCCCTAAACCCCAAATCTATAAAGCCCTACAGGAGTTCCAGAACTTCGTGCCCACAAACTCGTGACTCCTCGGCCTAAAAGAAAAGAAACCCTAAACCCTAAACCCTAAACCCTAAACCCTAAACAGACATTGAAGGTAGCGGTTAAATCGCTTGACCCTTTAGTGAGGCCCTTTCAACCCTACAACCCTAACCCCCAACCCCCAATCAAAATCCCGAGAAACCCTGGACCCCAAACTCTAGCCCCAACCCCTAAACCCTAAACCCTAAACGCTAATCCCTAAACCCTAAACCCTGAACCCTAAACCCTAAACCCCAAACCCCTAGCCCTGCGCTCTGCGGCGCCGCGCCTCCGTCCGGGCGATCTTGGACCGCTTGGAGCCGCCGGGTCTGTAGCAGATGCTTGGGCTTAGGGTTTAGGGTTTAGGGTTTAGGGTTTAGGGTTTAGGGTTTAGGGATTAGGGTTTAGGGTTTAGGGTATAGGGTTTAGGGTTTAGGATTTAGGGTTTAGGGTTTAGGGTTTAGGGCTTAGGATTTAGGGTTTAGGGTTTAGGGTTTAGGGCTCAGGGTTTAGGGCTTAGGGTTCCTGGGCTTTACATCTGGCGCAACGTCCTAGAATCCGGCCTTGCAGCTGCTGCCAGAGTGGCCCCCAGCGATGCCCCAACGACCGGCGCTGACCATGTCGTCCTCGTCCTGGGATGGTTTAGGGTTTAGGGTTTAGGGTTTAGGGTTGAGGGTTGAGGGTTTAGGGTTTAGGGTTTAGGGTTTAGGGAGCCCCAAAACCTAGCACCAAAAGGGAAGAAGGATACCACCGCGTGTCCTAGATGTCGATTCGGGCGCGCAGCCCTAAACCTTACCACCTACAAACCCAAAACAAGAAACAAGCCTAACTCCACAAACCCCCAAACCCCGTTCTAATCGCCCTAAATCTATCCCCTTCAAAGAAACCCCCAAACCTAAACCCTACACCCTACACCCTACACCCTACACCCTAAACCCTAAACCCTACACCCTAAACCCTAAACCCTAAACCCTAAACCCTAAACCTGAGACTGTTGGGTTTCCGAGGGCTCTTCCCTCCGTGGGCCTGGGCCGCGCGACCGCGCCCGGCGGCGGCGGCGCCGCCGCGCCGGGCGGCACAGCGAGGGAGGGCGCCAGAGCCATGATGGGTCGGTTTCGGGGGGTTTTAGGGTTTAGGGTTTAGGGTTTAGGGTTTAGGGTTTAGGGTTTAGGGCTAGGTTCAGAGTTAAGAGTTTTTCTTTCGAGGGGACAATTCGGGTGAGGACCTTGCTCGGGGGGCAGGGTGCGATCATCGGCTTTGGCTTGACATGCGCGCCACAGACCCGATCTGGCCACGCCCTCTCAAATTTGGTTTAGGGTGTAGGGTGTAGGGTGTAGGGTTTAGGGTTTAGGGTTTAGGGTTTAGGGTTTAGGGTTTTGGGGCCTCTGTATGTTGGAGGCATTCTGGGCGAAGTTTATACTTAGTGCAAGGGAGAAGCAAGGATGGGGAGGCAATTTTCTCTCTTGGCGCTCCTGCAAGACTCCAAGCCCCCAACCCCCCAAAATCGAAACCGCAAACCCTGAACCCTATAAACCCTAAACCCTAAACCCTAAACCCGATAAACCCGATAAACCCGATAAACCCGATAAACCCTAAACCCTAAACCCTAAACCCTAAACCCTAAACCCTAAACCCTAAACTCCTCCTCCCCCCCTCTGCCCAGGCCCACCGGTCGTCTTCTACGATAGACAGCAGCTGCAGGATGTGAGGGTGTCGAAGCTGCCCCTGGATCCGCACCTCTTCAGGGCATCTAGGGTTTAGGGTTTAGGGTTTAGGGTTTGGGGTTTAGGGTTTAGGGTTTGGGGTTTGGGGTTTGGGGTTTGGGGTTTAGGGTTTGGGGTTTAGGGTTTGGGGTTTGGGGTTTAGGGTTTAGGGTTTTGGGGTTTGGGGTTTAGGCTTTGGGGTTCAGGGTGTTATGATCTTAGGGCTCGGGACACGACAAGTATCAGAGCTTTGGAGTTTCGGGTTTTTGCGTTCGGGCCCGGGACCCTTTCCCCCCTACGCACAGGAAGGCAGGTATAGGGTTCAGGGTTTAGGGTTTAGGGTTCAGGGTTCAGGGTTCAGGGTTCAGGGTTCAGGGTTTAGGGTTTAGGGTTTAGGGTAGGGATATGGAGCTACGGGCTTCTGGCATTTAGAGGCTCAGAACGCAGCTCAGCCACCAACATCGCAAGGGTGCTGAAGCCTCTCAACCCTAAACCCTAAACCCAAAACCCAAAATAGTCGGCCTTATTGTGCCACGACCTTTTGACTATTCAGGGCTCAGAATGAACTGAACTGACATTTAGGGTTTAGGGATTAGGGGTTAGGGGTTAGGGATTAAGGGTTTAGTGCAGCGCTGCTCAGAAACACACAGGGTCTTCGAAGCCCAACACCACACTTCACTCCGGTTTAGGGCAAGTCCCTAGACCCTCAGACCCGAAAGCAAGGCCCCAGCTCAGAGCTAAACTGGTTTACAGCAAGTTTATGGCTCAGGGCTTCCTAAACCCTCAACCCTTAACCATAAAACCTAAACCTTCAAATCCCAACCCTTGAACCCTTTCGACCCTGAACCCTAATACCCAACCCCCTAAACCTGAACCGTAATCCACAACCCCCTCAGCCTTAAACCCTAACCCTTAAACCCTAGAGACCCTGAACTAATTAAGCCTTCAAGCTGTCAGCCTAACCCTGAAACCCAAACCCTAAACCCTAAACCCTAAACCCTAAACCCTAAACCCTAAACCCTAAACCCTAAACCCTAAACCCTAAACCCTAAACCCTAAACCCTAACCCTAAACCCTAAACCCTAAACCCTAAACCCTAAACCCTAAACCCTAAACCCTAAACCCTAAACCCTAAACCCTAAACCCTAAACAAAACACGCACCCCAACGCCGCAAGGCCTTGCCTCCCTCTCCAACTGGCCCATCATGCTCCGTATGTACAGAGGGTACCTGGCCCATGGGAGCATGGGGAAGGTTGCGGAAGCAATTGTTGCCATAGCATGGGGGGGGGGGGTTTAGGGTTTAGGGTTGATGCTACTATGTATATATATATATATACGTACATGTGAATTATATAAGTAAATTAAATTTAGATATGCATAGAAATATAAGTGCATACATATATATATATATATTTACTTATTTATATATTTACATACACACACACACACACACCTGCGGTTTTTCCACCCCCCCCCCCCCCCCCCCGCCACCTCTTCTCCATCTGCCGCACCACACGATCTCGTGTTGTCCACGGGTTGGGGGTTGAAGGTGTAGTTCAGGTTTAGGCTCGGTCTGGTTGCTTTGGGGTGGACGGGCATATGAATTGCCCAAGTCCAAAAAAAGTGCCGAAAACTGGGACCGGAAACGAACCCGCTTCGAGCGCACTTCTCCACCACTTTCAGCGCAACCTCGCCAGACCGTGCCGGGGGGGGGGGGGCTGGTGTCCTCAAACCTAAACCCCTAAACCCAAACCCTAAACCCCTAAACCCTAGACCCCAAACCCTATCCTACACTCGAAACCCTAACTCTTCAGCCCAACCCGAAGACCTAAGCCAAACGCCCTCTCGCGCGGTCACGAGCCGAATCTCTACAGGCTCACAGTCCTTGTACTGCCCCTAGAGATTTAGCACTTAACCTTTACAGGATATATGTCGTTTATAAGTTTTTCGTTTAGGGCTTCTCGTTTAGGATCTGTAGTTTAGGGTTTCATTGGGTCTTTTCTGGTTTCGGGCTTCGCCATTCCCACGGTGAATGGAACTCCAGATGCTGCAAATTCATCCGGATCCCGACAACGCGCAGTACGCAGCCATCTAAGAACAATAGACCCGAAACCATGGACTCGAGACCCCGTAAGCCGTAAGCCGTAAGCCGTAAGCCGTAAGCCGTAAGCCGTAAGCCGTAAGCCGTAAGCCGTAAGCCGTAAGCCGTAAGCCGTAAGCCGTAAGCCCCTGATATGCGAATATAAAACCCAAGGGTCCCTGCGTCAGAACCCTTTGAAGAAGGTAAGGGACTATATGAAGGGACCATATAACGACACTTATAGACATCCCTGCACCCCAAGCCTCTATGGACCCTAAACCCCAAACCCTGAGCCGTTCCAAGGACGTGGCCAAGCTTTGTGTGCGCCTGTGCCGCAGCCGCCGCACCTTGACTCATGGCATTTAGGGTTTTAGGCCTCAGGTTGTTAAGGGATGATTTCAGATCTACACTCAACAAAGACAAAGGAAACAACACCATCAGGAATGCTACATGTGTTGTTGACGCTGTACAGTACACGTAGTCTAGCATATACATGGCCCTAGGGCGTGTCTTTCGTAGCCTTCCCTTAGAAAGCCAAATAGCAACATATACAAATGCACAACTGCACAACCTCACACCTCACACCTTGGAACCTCACAGCCTGGAGTATTTTCAACAGCCGAGTTTAGGGTTTAGGGTTGCTTGGGATGTTCCCCCCCTATACTGACAGTCCTTAACGGGATTCTAGTAGGGGGTACTACAATCCCTACCAAGGACTGTGAGTACAACGGGGAACATCCCAATTCTATAACTGTACTTCTAACCCACTTACAAGCCGCTTAAGTGCCCTAATATGGTGATAAGTACAGTCATAAGTACAATTACAGCTGGTTAATAAGTACCATGAACCTCTTAGTTGCTGAGCTCAGAAGCCCCCCAAAAGGTGTACACTTTCAGTTCTATATGGGATTATCGTAATCCCAAAAAGTTTACAGTGTACCCCTAAACCCTAAACCCTAAACCCTACACCCCATGAACCTCCAAGTAGGGTTTAGGGCCGGCGCCACGGCGAAAGCTCCCTCGCCGATGACCTCGTCCTCCTCCTTTCAAAAGGGCGAGCAAGCCCTAAGCCCTAAACCCTAAACCCTAAACCCTAAACACCAAACCCTAAGTAAACCCTACACTACATCTCGCCGGGCTTTATTGACAGTTTGTTGAGTAAGTGCGAGGCTCAAGATAAGAAGTCTTCCGCAGCTTACCCTCAATCCTCTCCAGACCCTAAACCCCCAACGTCATGAATCCGTAGGAACCTTCAAACTTCTAGGCTAAACCCTAAACCCGAAAACCCCCTTCCCCCAAGCTACCCTAAGCCACGAGGGAACCCTTCGAGATGCATCTCTTCCCCATGTAAACCCTAAAACCCTAAACCCTAAGCCTAGGCCCCGCCAGAGGGTGCTATCAGAACCCCAGATATAGGTAGCACTACTCTACTGCTTGCTTAAGAACCCAAAAACCTAAAATATTCTTCCCTCTAAGGGTAATAAAGGGATTGTGCACTTTTTCTTTGGGGTCCTTAAGCAAATAGTAGTACTCCATGATGACAGACATTACTCGCAGGCCCAAAAAGCCCTACGGACTTAAGGTTTAATTCGGGGGCTTCGGCCTGCGCACTTAAGGTTTAGGGGGTTTCGGGCTGAGGGTTTAGGAATACCCTGAACCCTGTAAACCCCAAGACCCTCAACCACCTGAACCCTGCAAGTCTTTCCGTGGGCCTCGTATTCGGCCGCAAGCTGGGCTGGAAGCTCCGTAGGAGGGGTAGTGAGGCTGGCACAGCGAGGGGGGCTGGGAGGGGCTGCGCGTATCAACGGGTGTTAGTCAGGGTTTGGGGTGTAGGAGGTTGAGGATATTTAGGGTTTCGGTTGTAGGATATAGGGCTCAGGGTTTATGGTTTATGAAGCTTTAGGAGCACGGTTCAAGCCAGGTAGGATGGTCGAGCAAACTCTGAGCCCAGTCGAGCAACCAACGCGAAACTCTGTACTCCCTAACTAAAGATCCTAACCATTAAACCTTCAACCTAGGAACCAACGCGAAACTCTGTACTCCCTAACTAAAGATCCTATCCACTAAACCTTCAACCCTGAACTTAGGAAGCTCTCAACATCCTGCGCCATAGCCCCGCACGCGCCCCATCGCGAACTTCCCAAGCCCAGGCCCGCAGTCCTAAAACCCCCAAGCCCACGACCCCAAACTCAAGCAACAACGCATTCTAAACCCTAAACCCTAAACCCTAAACCCTAAACCCTAAACCCAAAACCCAAAACCCTAAACCCTAAACCCTGAACCCTAAACCCTAAACCCTAAACCCTAAACCCTAAACATCCAAACCTGCCTCGTAAGCTGTAGGGGCGGCGGCCGTGTCTTGCCCTCCCCAGTCCTGAAAGAGGTTGGCTTGGGGGTTCTGGGTTTAGGGTTTAGGGTTTAGGGTTTTAGGGTTTAGGGTTTAGGGTTTAGGGCTTAGGGCTTAGGGTTCAGGGCTTAGGGTTGAGGGTTTAGAGTTCAGGGCTGAAGGTTTTGGTCAAAGTTTGCGGCGGCAGGCTTTCTTTCTTTTTCCTTGGCCCGCAAAAAAGAAGTGAACCGGTAGGCCTGCGGCTAAGGCTTCGGCTGCAGTTGTATTTTGCAAGTTCTTTTGTTGTTTTCCTTGGCCTAGAGGGGGGAAGCGAATGATCCTTGGGGAGAGAGGGGAGTGGTAGGGGAGCGTTTAATAAAGAAAAAGGATGTAGGTTTCAGCAATTCGTCTCGGCTTCCTGCCGAGAAGCGTTTGGAACAAGCAGACGCAGGATCCAGTCTCCTTTCCCCTAACCCAACCCTTCCCCACATGCCAAATTTTGTGACGGACCCCCCCCCCCCCCCCTCGCGTGGAGGAGCTGGCGGTCGAAAGCACACTTTTTGGGTCTGACCCTCTTGTTTGAGACCTTTTCTGGGAACCCCCGCACCCCCCTTCAGAACCCCCGCCCCCCTGAAACCCCCCTCCTGGCACCCTCTTTCCTCCTTTCCTGTCCGTGGGCTAGCCCGGCTGCCGAGGCGGCGCGCACAAGCGTTTACAATTATGATCCCTTTTTGGGCTCTTATACTACCTACTCGCGAATTCTCCTCTTAGAAAAGGTAAGTTAGCGGCTTAGGCGACATCGTACCCCTTGAGAGGGGGATCAAATTTTGAAATCGGTTTTAGAGTCTATAGGGCTCAGCGCCTGGGGAAGTTTAGCTACACCCCTAAACCCTAAACCCTAAACCCTAAACACTATCCCCTAAACCCTAAACCCTAAAACCCTAAACCCTAAACCCTAAACCCTAAACACTAAACCCTAAACCCTGAACCCCCCAGCTACTCCTGAATCCACGACGCACTCGAACCCTCTCTCTCATGGGTGTCCCGATTACCCCCCTCCAATTTAGCTTAATTCTCACTAACTAGCCTTATGGGGGAACCTAGGGGGCGGGGGGGTAGTAGCCCTAAACCCTAAACCCTAAACCCTAAACCCTAAACCCTAAACCCTAAACCGTATACACATAGGGCGTAGTAGGGGAACCCACTCTCTCGCGCGACTTGCAGCTGCGTCTCCCAAGACGAGGTGAGGTCTTGGGGTTCTCGACGCGGACGCCTGGGGCAGTTCCTGTCTCCCCTACACCCAAACCCTAAACCCTAAACCTTAAACCCTAAACCCTAAACCCTAAACCCTAAACCCTAAACCCTAAACCTTAAACCCTAAACCCTAAACCCTAAACCCTTGGTGCTTCTGATGGATACGGCTAGGCACCTGTACCAGCAATCCCCAACTCCAAGCAAGAGGACTTCCTCTACTAAGATCAAAAAGGGCTTAGGGTTTAGGGCTTACAACCCTAAACCCTAAACCCTAAACAAAAAACCCCAAACCCCAAACCCTAAAGCAGGGTTTAGGGTTCAGGGTGTAGGGTTAGGGTTTCGTGTTTGGGTTTTTTTGCCTCTTCCTGATGTGTCTCACCGTGAGAGCCAATGGCTGCGGCCGCTCTACCACCACAAAGACCGCAAAGCCCAAAAAACCCTGAAGGCTAAACCCAGAACCCTAAACCCTAAACCCTTAACCCTAAACCGTAAACCCTAAACCCCAAACCCTAAACCCTAAACCAAAACCCAAAACCCTAAACCCTAAACCTCAACCCGGCTTCAGGGCTCTTAAGGATTCGGGGCACAGGCTTTAGAGTAACCCCTCTAGCACCTAAATCCTTCAAGACCAGCCCTAAACCCCAAACCCGAAACCCTAAACCCTAAAATCTAAACCCCAAGCCCTTGACAGGGTAGAAACCCTGAGTGCCCAAATCCCATCACACCTCACATGCAGGCCACTTCCCGCCTCGATCCCGATTCTGTGGCAGCCTAGTTTAGGTTTTAGGGTTTAGAGCTTAGGCCTTATAGGGATTAGGGTTTCGGGTTTAGGGTTTAGGGTTTAGGGTTTAGGGTTTAGGGTTTAGGGTTTAGGGTTTAGGGTTTAGGGGTGCCGGTGGCACGCGAGGTCTTCGCCTTCAGGGGGTTCCAGGTTCAGGGGCACCGGGCCTTGGTTTTGCCTCGGAATTTAGAGGGAGATCGTGGAGGTTTAGGGTTTAGGGTTTAGGGTTTAGGGTTTAGGGTTTAGGGTTTAGGGTTTAGGGTTTAGGGTTTAGTGTTTTCGAGTTTCCCAGTTGGGGCTCAAACCTTCAGGGTTTGGGGGGGGGGGGGGGGGGGGGGCGGTAAAGGAAGAAAGGGATCGGTACTAAAGGGGCCTGAATAGTTAGAATAGGGTTTTTTGGGGGGGGCAATTATAGTGAAGGACCACTTACTTGCTGAGTTCATAAGCCCGCACAAAGTCTATGTACACTTTCAGTTCTATAACTATAGGGGATTATAGTATCCCCAAAAGTTTAAAGTGTTACTCATTCAGCTACTAAGACCATACGGGGATGCGATTAGCATCTCTTCCGACCCATTTTGTACGTGTGTTGGGGGAGGTTTTGCCGGGCCTCACCCCTTAAACCCGGGGCTGGCGGAACCTTAGCTTCGGGTTTCGAGGGCCTTTGGGTTGAGTTTAGGGTTTAGGGTTTAGGGTTTAGGGTTTAGGGTTTAGGGTTTAGGGTTTAGGGTTTAGGGTTTAGGGTTTAGGGTTTAGGGTTTAGGGTTTAGGGTTTAGGGTTTAGGGTTTAGGGTTTAGGGTTTAGGGGTTAGGGGTTAGGGGTTAGGGATTAGGGATTAGGGTTTAGGGATTAGGGATTAGGGTTCAAAGACCTCAAACCCTGAACAAGCCTTGCAACCCTCAAGGACTTTCACGCCCTTTAATCCGACCGAAGATATGTCCTTCAGCCATCTTCAACCCTCAAAAACCCTTGTGCAACCCTTTGAAGCAAATCCCTGCAGACAAAGTCTCACATCACGCACTGCAGCCCAAAGTCCCACATAACGCCTCAACACAGAAACTTGCCCTAAAACCTAAAAATCCTGAGAAATCTCATCCGAAAAGGGACCACTAAGCGCTAAAACGCTGAAGAAAACAAAACTAGCCGTCCTTTACGGCCCCTTGCAATATCACTTCTAGGCTTCAGGGTTTTATAGGGTTTACTGGTACCAAGACGATGGGATAAGCCGCATTTTCGAGCGTTGGATGAGAACGGGGAGGGCGCTCGGCTCTCAAGTAGCTGCAGTGTGCAATTTAGGGTTTAGGGTTTAGGGTTTAGGGTTTAGGGTTTAGGGTTTAGGGTTTAGGGTTTAGGGTTTAGGGTTGAAGGATCTCCCCCATGGGGTCTGAACAACCCCCAAGGTCCGCAACCCGCCTCTTGGTGATCTTCTCCTCTGTTGCCTCCGCCACGCGTGGTTCATACACCCACCCAGCACCCTCTATCCCCTAAGCTCCCAAAGCCTAGGCCCTGCAAGTCATGTTGAGGCCCATAAGACACAGAAAGCCGTACACGACCTATGAAACTCTATGAGCCCAAGGTGTTTTGTCCAGTCTGGAGGGATCTGATGCAATGAGGAGGAGAAGGAGCAGGAGGAGGAGGAGAAGGGGGAAGATGTGTCAGCAAGCTACGCAACTCGCACATAAACCCCAAACCATTCCAGCCTAAGCGCCACACCGTAAAGCCGAAACCCAATGTCTCTCCCCCTCTCCGGCTCTCTCGCTCTCTCTGTGCCACTCTCACTCTTTCTTCTCTTCTTCTTCTCCTATTTCTCACCCTCCTTCTTCTCCTTCTCCTTCTTCTCCTCCTTCTCCGTCTTCTGCTTCTCCTTCTTGTTCTCCTTCTTGTTCTTCTTTTCATTCTTGTTATTCTTCTCCTTCTGCCTCTTCCTCTTCCTCTTCATCTTTCTCTTCCTTTTCCTCTTCCTCTTCCTCTCCCTCTCCCTCTTCCTCTTCCTCTTATTATTCTTCTTCCTCTTCTTCTTCCTCTGCTTCTTCCTCTTCTTCTTCCTCTTCCTCCTCTTCCTCCTCTTCTTCCTCTTCTTCCCCTTCTTTCGCTTCTTGTTATTCTTCTTCTCCTTTTTCTTGTCTTCTTTTTCTTATTCTTCTGCTTTCTTCGTCTTCTTATTCTACTGTCTCTCTCGTCCGCCCTTATCAACCGTCTCGAAACCCTTAAACCCAAAACCGGTAACCCTCAACTTTAGGAAAAACTGCTGCGGAGCCCTTGCCGAAAGCCGTTCCGGAGCTTTCGAGGGACACGGAAGCCCTTCGAACATAACCCCGCCGAAAGCCACCGTCTAGCAGCACCTGAGGGTTTAGGGTTTAGGGTTTAAGGTTCGGGCTTTTGAGTGTAGTACTTTCCACCCCCCCCTCCCCCCCAGCCCCCTCCCGCCCCCTCCCCAGCCCCCCCTTAAGACCCTAAACCCGAAACTCGAAACCCTAAACCCTTCAGCCACGGCTTGGCTTGAGAGGGTTGGCCTCCACTCGCTTCACGTTCTCGTTGTTGATTGTCCTGCAAGGGTTTAGGGTTTCGGGTTTAGAGGTTAGGGGTTTAGGGTTTAGGGTTTAGGGTTTAGGGTTTAGGGTTGAAAGCCTCAGCCCTAGACAACCAAAGGGACAAAAGGTACTTGTGGTTGAAGGTCAAGGGAGTTCAGCTTGTTCCTTAAACCCTCAATCCGAAATCCCAACCCTTAGCCGGAGAAGAGAAGCTTAGCTCTACAGCCCTGTACTAAACCCTAAACCCTAAACCCTAAACCCTAAACCCTAAACCCTAAACCCTAAACCCTAAACCCTAAACCCCAATTAAACCCTAAACCCTAAACCCTAAACCCTAAACCCTAAACCCTAAACCCTAAACCCTAAACCCTAAACCCTAAACCCTAAACCCTAAACCCTAAAACCCAAACCCTAAACCCTAAACCACACCGAAAACCCCCAGCAAAGACGGCGACCCAGTTGCCTCAGGGAGATGAACGATGTGGCCTGGACGAGACACGCGCTTGATGGCTTTGGGGGTTTAGGGTTTAGGGCTTAGGGTTTAGAGTTTAGCGGGCTGGCGCTTTGGTATGGGGTGTTAAGGTTGCAAGGGTTTTGGGCTTTGGGGTTCTGAGGCTTTGGGCTTCGGGGCTTTAGGGTTTTGGGGGGTTTACGGGCATCAGGGTCGATGACTATCGTAAACACTAAACCCTAAACCCTAAACCCTAAACCCTAAACCCTAAACCCTAAACCCTAAACCCTGGTTGAGAGTTTTAGGGTTGAGGGTTCTTGGGGGGCTTCAGTGGGGTGCAGGGTGCCAACCTCGGGTCGGCTCCTAAGTGCTAAACCCTACACCAACCAACCCTAACTAACACCCCCAAACTTCCAAACTCGAGACCCCCAAAACCTGTAAAATCCCCCGAACTCCTGTAATACCCCCCCCCCCCCCCAAGCCCTACCCCAGCACATTGGGTTTCGGGTGTTGCGGTCCTGGTGCTACTGAGTTGTGGTCGCATCAGAACTAGACTAGAGTGATTAGAGGTTTCGTAGAGAGGAAGCGGCATTAAGCGTACCTACACCCTAAACCCTAAACCCTAAACCCTAAACCCTAAACCCTAAACCCTAAACCCTAAACCCTAAACCCTAAACCCTAAAGCCTAAAGCCTAAAGCCTAAACCCTAAACCCTAAACCCCAAACAAACCAGCTGATCTCCCACCCCGTCCCCTCGGGCGCGCACCTTTGGGAAGTGCATGTGCCCAGCATTCCTGCAAGAGCCGATTGCGGTTTAGGGTTTAGGGTTTAGGGTTTAGGGTTTAGGGTTTAGGGTTTAGGGGGGGGGGGGGGGGGGGGGGTGAAATTCGCCGTTGCCGACTTTTGAGGCAGGAAATTCACCATTGCCGACTTTTGAGGCCAGGAAATTCACCATTGCCGACTTTTTTTTGAGGCCAGGAAATTCACCATTGCCGACTTTTGAGGCCAGGCAATTCACCATTGCCGACTTTTGAGGCCAGGAAATTCACCATTGCCGACTTTTGAGGCCAGGAAATTCACCATTGCCGACGTTTGAAGCCGAAATTCACCGTTGCCGACTTTTGAATTAGGGTTTAAATTCATTATGATAGAGAGGTTTAGGGTTTAGGGTTTAGGGTTTAGGGTTTACGGGGATGGCTTCGGGGTGGCAGGAAAGTGACTAGGGTTAGGGTTTAGGGTTTGGGGTTTAGGGCTTCGGTTTGGAGCGTTTAGGGGTTGAGAGGTTTCGGTTCAGGCACTGCGGGGCTCGTGTGCCCTCAACGCCTGACCGAGAATGATCGACTAGGCCGCTAGGCCGTTGGGTTTCGGTTGCGTCACCCTAAACCGAAACCCTGAACTGAACCCTAACCCTAGCAAAACCCTAAACCCTAAACCCTACAATAAACCCTAAACCCTAAACCCTAAACCCTAAACCCTAAACCCTAAACCTACACCCCTCAAAACCGAAAAGCCGACTCGCATGTCCCTGCTGGGCATCCAGACGGGCTTCGGCAGCAGACAGGAGGTGTTTGATGGCCTGCCGGTGTTGAGGGTTTAGGGTTCAGGGCAAGGGGCCCAATTGCCCAAAATCAGGCATTCATACCCCAGATCGAATGAGCCTTCATCAGGGAAAATGGGCCCCTGGATTCTTGCGACAGAACTGGTTTGCGCCTTGGGGGGGGTTCGGCCCCTGAATATTCAACTTCCACAACCCCCCCCCCCCCCCAAACATCTCTGAACACCCTGAACCCTTCAAGGTCTGCCCTATGTTAAGGGTTTCGGGTCTAGGGTTCAGGCTGCGAGGTTGAGGGGTTTAGGGTTTAGGGTTTAGGGTTTACGGTTTAGGGTTTAGGGGTCTAGGTGCCTTTCTAGACTCCAAATCCTCCCTTGGTCTGGGGCATTCAAAGGGCCCACCATCTCGATCCCAGGGATCGAGGTGCCGAATGCAATTCGCTTGTAGGAATGGGGCTTAGGGATCCCCAAACCCTAAACCCTAAACCCTAAACCCTAAGCCCTAAACCCTTAAGGGTTCAAGGGTTGAAGGTTTGGTGCTTCAAGCTTCGGGGGCTGGCGGCTCAGGGAATCAGAGAGGAGTTCCGGTTTCACAAGGCTGGTCATGGACACAACGAATCCCCAAACCCGAGGTCTCCAACCCTAAGCCCTGCACGATATGCCCCCCCACCCGGCAATCCTGTTGCACCTCGCGTGGGACTGGCCTCGGGCAAGGAAGGTGCTCGTAAGCCCATAACACATAAAAGACAAAACCATAAACCCTGAACCCTTTACCGGCTTGAGGTCCTAAACCCCAAGCCCTTGACAGTTAAAGGTTTAGCATGCGCGGGGTGAGTTAAACCTGAACCCTCCAACCTGCGGCCCCAAACCCGACCTGCGTAACAGCAACAGCAATAGCGATGTCGAGTATAAGGACACAGCAAGGGAGGTGTCCCAAGCGCCTCAAGTATCACCAGTGTCCCAAATGACCCGAGTGTCTTGAGCGACGTTCCCCAGTGTCCCAAACGGACCCAGTGTCCCAAGCGATCTTAGTGACCCCACATGTGTCCCGAGCAACACAGTGTCCTAATTGCACCAAGTGACCTTAGTATCGCAAGTGCTCAAATCCAGCTCCCCAGGTGTTCCAAGTGTTCCGAGTGACCCAAGCGACCCAAATGTCCCCAGCTGTCTCAAGTCAGTCCCAAGTGCTCCAGGTGAGCCATCTGTCCCACCGACCCAAGTGACGCAAGGAGACGCAAGCCTTCGAGGTCCCGAACCACCCACGTGTCACTTAAGTGACACACGTGTCCCTAAGTGACCTAAGTGACCCGGGTGCCCCAAGTGACCCAAGTATTCTCAGTGAGCCAGTTGTGTTTCAAATGAGCCAAGTGCTCCAAGTGTCCGAAGTGACCCAAGGGTCCCAATCGCCATCTTCAGCTCGCAGCACTTCAGTCTTCATGCCAGGTTCGAACATGCATGCACGGTACATGCAACCAGCTGCACAGAAAAGAAACTGATCGACTGCAAACGGAAAAACCACTGCAAGCCAGCATGCACAACCGCAGCTCCGAAACAGCAACGCCATCACAAGGCTCCTGCCAAAACCACCTTGCATCAAAGTACATGTCGCGTTTTAACTCCATGAGAGTTGCAACTGGGCGGTCTTGGGGTGGGTAGGTCCGCGGACAACGCGCGCTCACCAAGCGCGCCTCCGTTTGGACGCCCTCGTCCCTAAACCCGAAACACAAAACCCTAAACCCAAACACCAACACTCTAAACCCAAACACAAAAACCCTAAGCCGAAACACGAAACACTAATCGCTCCCAGTGAGTCCGCAGACACCATGCAGGACTACACACAAAGACATCTGAATTTGCAGGCGTATACGCCATCCTACTTCTGCGAAAAACTAAAGAGCCACAAAACCAGATAAGCAAAACCCTAAACCCTAAGCCCTAAACCCGAAACCCTAGACCCTAAACCCTAAACCCTAAACCCTAGACCCTAGACCCTAAACCCTAAACCCTAAACCCTAGACCCTGAGTCTGGGAGAGGCGGCTGCAGACCGGTCCGGCAAGGCGAAAGAAGCGGAACGAGCCATAGCCAGGGCCTGCCATGAGAGTTTCAGGGGTTAAGGGTTTAGGGTTTAGGGCTTCAGGGGTTTAGGGTTTGGGGTTTAGGGTTTAGGGTTTGGGGTTTGGGGTTTAGGGTTTGGGGTTTGGGGTTGCAGAGGTTTAGGGTTTAGGGTTCAGGGTTTAGGGTTTCGGGTTTCGGGTTTAGGGCTTAGGAGGAGGTTTTCGAGTGTGTCGCTTTGAGACTTTTGGGGGGCAGGCTTGGGTCCGCCTTCCTTCCTTCAAGGGGTTTAGGGTTTAGGGTTTATGGTTTAGGGTTTAGGCTTAGGGTCTAGGGTCTAGGGCACCACACGTCTTCAAATTCATTTCCACGAAGTACATCAGGGATATCTTTGAGCTATTTAAACAGCAAAACCCTTTCAACCCTACACCCTTGCACCCCCTAAACCCTAAACCCTAAACCCTAAAGCCTAAACCCCCAGTAAACCCCGTACATCCATCACAAGGGGCCTTCCCGAAGCTTAACCATGGGCCATCGAGCTCTGGAACCACTTGGAAGCGCCCTAAACCCTAAACCCTAAACCCTAAACCCTAAACCCTAAACCCTAAACCCTTCTTCCGAAACCCCAAATAAGATACACCCTGCACCCAACTTTCACCCTCCACAAGTCCTCTTCCGAAGCGCTCTGGAGGAGCGGGTGCCAGGACACCGACGGAGACTGGCACAAAGTTTAGGGTTTAGGGTAAAGGGTTTAGGGTTCAGGCTTAAGGGTTTAGGGTTTGAGGTTTATGCGGGGTTTACTTTCGGGCATCTTATATATATATATATAGTACGGCCCTTAAATCAAGGACACAAAAAGGAACAAAACTACCCGTATATATTTGTATATGTATATATATATATGAGATGATCTGATACGATCTGATCTGATATGATGTGACATATATATATATGTATATGTGTGTATACTACTTATTTATGTGTCTATTTGCATATGATGTGACATGATATGATATTATGTGATATGATATGATACATATTGACACATCAATATATGATACATAAATGAATCAATATATATATATATATACCCTAAACGCATTGCATGTGCCCGCAGCATGGAAATATTGTGATTCCTATGGTCACCGATAGCGCTGCACTAGGTTGCTGCGACTGGCTCATTCTTGCATGTGTTTCCATACAAAAGCCCCCTAAACCCTAAACCCTAAACCCTAAACCCTAAACCCTGGACCCTAAACTCTTTGCAAGGCATCTCGATTTCGCGCCCAGTCGGAAGCGTGCCACTTCTTAGTGGCCTGAGCTGCGATGGAGGAGATCAGGGTTTAGGGTTTAGGGTTTAGGGTTTAGGGTTTGGGGTCGTTCATGGCTTGGTTTACTGTACGCACGTACGTCGAGCAACACTCCAGCAGAGTGGGTTATACATATTTTTTGCCTCCTTGTCAGCAGACGACTCATCTGTCTGTGCAGACGCGAGCCTCAAATTTGATGGCCTTCCTGCGCTGTGATGAAGAAGCTCCATTGCTGCTCTGCTCAATATTGCAGGAACAAGCGTGCCAGTTGGAGGTGGCCTGAAGAAGCTGCGATGCAAAGAGGGGTGACTCCATCATCCCTGGTTTTCTCCTTGTCCGCGCCTGCTTCGAGCAAGAGACGTGCCACTTCTATGAACCCCTTCTGCGCTGCGATGAAGAGAGGGGTGATCCCATCTGGCCTGGCGCGATCCTTGTCCGCTCCCGATTCCTGGTGCATGGCCGGGATCACTTGAAAGAATTACATTCTTATCCCTTATTGGGTTTAAGTACCCTTATAAAAATGCAAAAATGCTCTTCCTTATTGGGTTTAAGTACCCTTAATCATGTAAAATGGCACCCAACTATTGATATTCTTATTCCGTATTGGGCTTAAGTACCCTTGAAAAGTGTAAAATGGCCCCCAACTATGACTATTCCTTATTGGGTTTAAGTACCCTTAAAAAGTGTAAAATGGCACCCAACCCTAAACCCTAAACCCTAAACCCTAAACCCTAAACCCTAAACCCTAAACCCTAAACCCCAACTATTGACGAAGATTCGAGCAGCAAGCGGACCGCCTCTAAGTGCCCCAGCTGCGCTGCGGCGAGCAGCGGGCTTGCTCCATCAGGCCCGGCGAGGTCCTTGTCTGCGCCTTGGAAGCCCAGTAGCCATGATAGGTTTAGGGTTTAGGGTTTAGGGTTTAGGGTTTAGGGTTTCGGGTTTAGGGCTACCAAGGCACCAAACTCCAGCAGCAATCGTGCCGCCTCCAGGCGCTTGCTCTGAACCGCGAGGTGAATAGGGGATGCCCCGTCCCTGTTGGCGTGGTTCTTGTCCGCGCCCGATTCGAGCAACAAACGTGCCACCTCCAGGTGGCCATCATAGACCTATAGGCTGAACTCGGAACCCCAGCAAAAATGTATTTTTGTTGCTGTTTCTTAGGCAAAAATGATGATTTTTGCTATTTCTTAGGAATTATGGTAACCAAAAATTAAAGGCTGTTTCCAAGTACCCCGAAGAGACTGCTATGCAAAGAGGGGAGACTCCATTCGGCGCCACATGATCTATCTCCGCGCCGGATTCCAGCAACAGGCGTGACACTGCCACCTGGCCCTCCCCTGCAGCGATGAAAAGAGCTGTTCCTACAGGGCAGGTGTGCTCCTTGTTCGCGCCCGCTTCGAGCAACAAACGTGCCACTTCCACGTGGCCTTTCTGAGCTGCCATGATAAGGGGGGTGGCTCCATCATGCCTGACGTGATCCTTGTCCGCGCCCGATTCGAGCAGCAGACGTGCCACTTCCAACTGGCCATCATAGACTGCCATGCCAAGAGGGGAGACCCCATCAGGCCCACGGTGGTCCTTGTCCGCACCAAACTCGAGCAGCAAGCGTGCCACTTCCACGTGGCCTCGCTTAGCAGCATTGTAAAGAGGGGTCTCTCCGCGGCTGTTGGTGTAGTCCTTGTCCGCGCCCGATTCGAGCAACGAACGTGCCACTTCCAGGTGGCCCTTCTGAACCGCCATGCAAAGAGGGGTTGGGTAGTGGGGGAACCCATGATCCTCGGGTCTGGGTCTGGAGTCATCCGGGTCCGCACCCATCTCGAGCAGCAAGCGCACCACCTCCACGTCACCCATCTGGGCTGCGATAAAGAGGGGACTTGCTCCTGGGTAGCCCAGTAGAATCCTATCATGATCAGGGTACCCTTTTTTTGTTGCTGGCTATAATCATAAGAGGAGCCTAGACTCTCAACCCTAAACCCTAAACCCTAAACCCTAAACCCTAAACTCTAAACCCTAAACCCTAAACCCTTAGAACCAAGGGGGCAAAACGGTACCTCTGGGCAAGCCAAGGATCCATCCCTGTTGGTGTGGTTCTTGTTCGCACCCGATGCGAGCAACAGGCGTGCCACGTCCAGTTGATGTTTCCTACACTGAACTAAAACCTAAACCCGAAACCCGAAACCCAAAACCCTACACCCTAGACCCTAGACCCTAGACTCTAAACCCTAAACCCTAATTAAACCCTAAACCCTAACCCTAAACCCTAAACCCGAAACCCTAAACCCTAGCAGAAATCATAACTTTGGCTGTTTCTTCGGAATTAAAGTACCCTTTCCTAGGATGGCCCCTAAAACCATTTTAAACGGATTCCTAAGTATGATCCTCTTAACCCCAGTAAGGGGTGGGAAATTCAAAAAAAAAATATATATATTATAACATCCCAAGGGCCTTCCTAGCTCTTCACCCTAAACCCTAAACCCTGAACCCTAAACCCTAAACCCTAAACCCTAAACCCTAAACCCTAAGCCCTAAGCCCTAAGCCCTAAACCCTAAACCCTAAACCCTAAACCTTAAACCCTCACCTAGGAATGAACAGAAGCGATTTCCAAGTATCCCTAAGTTTCTGAGTTGCGATGAAAAGTGGCGTGCCGCCGTCCGGCCTGAGAGGATCCCTGTCCGCGCCCGACGCGAGCAACAAGCGTACCATTTCCAAGTGACCTTCTTATAGTAGCCCAGTGGTTTAGGGTTCAGGGTTTAGGGTTTAGGGTTAGGGTTTAGGGTTTAGGGTTTAGGGTTTAGGGTTTAGGGTTTAGGGTTTAGGGTTTAGGGTTTAGGGTTTAGGGTTTAGGGTTTAGGGTTTAGGGTTTAGGTTTTAGTGTTTAGGGTTTAGGGTTTAGGGTTTAGGGTTTAGGGTTTAGGGTTTAGGGTTTAGGGTTTAGGGTTTAGGGTTTAGGGTTTAGGGTTTAGGGTTTGGGGTTTGGGGTTCAGGGTTCAGGATTCAGGGTTTAGGGTTTAGGGTTTAGGGTTCAGGGTTTAGGGTTTAGGGTTTGGGGTTAGGGTGTAGGGTTTAGGGTTTCTTTTATAAGGGAGCCCAGAACCCGAAAAAAAGGGGAAAAGGGCCCCACCGGGCCCCACCGAGCCTTCCTGAGCTGCGATGAAGAGAGGGCTTGCTCCATCCGGCTTCTTGTAATTCCTTAGTTGCTTTAGGGTTTAGGGTTTAGGGTTTAGGGTTTAGGTTTTAGGGTTTAGGGTTTGGGGTTTGGGGTTTGGGGTTTAGGAAGGGTTCAGGCCCGGGGAAGTTTCGAGGAGTTTCAAGGAGTTCGTTTTTGGATTCTTCTTCATAATTTCAAGTTACAGGGGGCTTGATGGTTTAGGGTTTAGGGGAAGCCCCATAAAAATGTACTCTTTCAGTTCTAGAGGGGATTATCGTATCCCAAAATGTGTAACGTGTACTCACTCAGCTACTCAGATTCTTGTCTGCCCCCGACTCGAGGAGCAAGCGCGCCGCTTCCAGGTGGCCGCACAGCGCTGCGATGTAAAGGGGGCCTATACTGAGCTTGGAACCCTGGCAAACTTTATCATTGCAGCTGCTTTCTTAGGAATTTAGGTACCAAAAAATAATTAACCCTAAACCCTAAACCCTAAACCCCAAACCCTAAACCCTAAACCCTAAAAAACTATTTCCAAGTATCCCTAAGGGGCTTGCTCCGTCAGCGTCGGCTGGGTCAATGTCTGCCCCAGCCTCAAGCAGCAGCGCCGCGCCTTAGTTGTCCTTTAAAAAAGCTGGGGGAATGAAAGGTTAACCTTTGGGTTTAGGGTTTAGGGTTTAGGGTCTAGGGTCTAGGGTTTAGGGTTTAGGGTTTAGGGTTTAGGGATTAGAATACCCCAAAAAGGTTATAGAGGCTATAGGTCAACCTTTGGGTTTTGATAGGGACTAGAATCCCCAAAAAAGGCTATAAAGGCTACCGACTCTACTACTAAGGGACTGTATAGTCAAAAAGGTTACAAAGGCTACAGAATCCACTAAGGGACTCACTCTGCTGCCATTGCCGGCTGCCATGTGCAGGGGTGCGAGTCCATTCTCGTCGGTCAGGCTTGGGTTCTGGGGCCTCTCCAACATCGCCTCCTTGGTAGCCCGGTAGCCATATTGTAGTAAGGGCACCCCTTTTTTTGGGTTGGGTTGGGTACTTTAGAAGGGAACCTTGAAGCACAAAAAAGGGAGAAGGGTACCACTGGGCTACCAGTAGCCCTAAACCCTAAACCCTAAACCCTAAACCCTAAACCCTAAACCCTAAACCCTAAACCCTAAACCCTAAACCCTAAACCCTAAACCCTAAACCCTAAGGATTAGCAAGGGCCACCACTGGCCTGCCAAGCCTCTATGTGACGTGTGCGGCCTGCTGCCACTGCGCGGATGAGCTCAGCAACTTGCTCGGGGGAGGTCTCGGCAAAGTCCAGCAAGACCAGGTCCAAGAGGCAGGGAGAGTCCAGCTGAGCCTTTGGGGTTTGGGGTTTAGGGTTTAGGGTTTAGGGTCTAGGGCTTAGGGTTATAGGGTTTAGGGTGCGTCCAGCCCAGCCTCGTTCGAAAGTATGCTGCCATCCTCTTGGAGGAGCCGCTGCCGAAACCGGGAATAGCCACAAAGTCCTTGGAGATGTAGCTTCAGGGCACGCACATTGCCTGCGCCCATCTAGTTGTAGTTAGCCTTATTCTCGGGTTTAGGGTTTAGGGTTTAGGGTTTAGGGTTTAGGGTTGAGGGTTGAGGGTTTAGGGTTGAGGGTTGAGGGTTGAGGGTTTAGGGTTTAGGGTTTAGCTTCAGGCCTGCGCCCCCATGTTCAGCTGCACGCTTCCACTCGCCCATGTCCAAGCGAGCCAGCTCCTCGCCAGTTGTCATCATTCGGATGCGCAGCATTGCCGCAAGTAGTCCACGTCTATCTGGGGCGACGCCCCTACTTCTCCCAAAAAAGGCCTATAGGAAGAACACTGACCCGAAGGTTTAAAGTTCGTGTGCTAGCAAAGTAAGTGCTGATGACAAACGCCTCCGGTGAGAATCCTTCCACTTGAGTCCTCGCAGCTTCGAGAGCAAAGGCCTTATGACAGTGGAAGTAAACTTAGGGATTCGAGCATGTAGGGTTGAGGGTTTAGAGTTTAGGGTCTAGGGTTGGGTGTAGGGTCTAGGGTCCATAAGGGTATAGCCCTTTTGTAGAGTCTAGAGGGTATTGGATTTGCCCCCTCAGGTACCCAAACACTCCGCGAGCATCCTCCTGAAGGAGTCCCCTCTGTCTTTAAGGGTTTCAGGCAGGTATATGGGACTTGCGGCTTGGAACCCTAAACCCGAAACCCGAAACCCGAAACCCGAAACCCTAAACCCTAAACCCTAAACCGTCTAGTGCATTAACCTCGGGAGGCCCACTGCAGAATCTCTTGAAACGGAGAAGCAAAGGGTCCAACTCGAACCCCCTTCCAAACTTAAAAAGCCCCAAAAACTACGCTCTAAATGCCCCTGCCCCATAAATTCCTAAACCCAGCCGGAAGCCCTAAACCCCCAACAAAAAAGACAAACCAAAAACTCCCTGAGGCCCACGCTTTCTTGGGAGTTTCCGAAATTAGGTGTTGGGGGTTCCCGACGTTAGGGGGTACCTTCTTGGGGTCCCTTTTTGCACGGGAATCCTACCTCTTTTTTTGTTGGGGGGGGGGGGGGGTATATTAGGGGTCCTGATTTTTGACGAAAAAACAACCCTAAACCCTAGGGTCCCTAAACCCTAAACCCTAAACCCTAAACCCTAAACCCTAAACCCTAAACCCTAAACCCTAAACCCGAAACCCACCCCATTCCCCATTTCCTGCACCCTAAGCAACCTGAAGCCCACGATTGCCGGGGCGACCCGTGTGGACGTCGGCACTGGGCGCGGATGCACCTCGAGGGGCCCTAAAACCCTGAACCCTAAACCCTAAACCCGACACCCTAAACCCTAAACCCTAAGCCCTAAGCCCTAAACCCTAAGCCCTAAACCCTAAACCCTAAGCCCTAAACCCTAAACTAAACCCTAAACCCTGCACACTAAACCCTAAACCCTACACCCTAAACCCCAAACCCTAAACCCCAAACCCAAACCCCAAACCTATCCCTTTGGTCTTGAAACCGTGGTCCCCAGATCCCCTCGCGGGTTGAGGTTCAGGGGTTCGGGTCGGTTTAGGGTTCTGGGGTTTTTGTCGGGGCACCCTAAAACCCTACTACCCCCCCCCCCCCCTCCAAAAAAACAAATTACCACTGCTTTCGCAACCCCCCCACCCCCATATCTCATGGACAAACCTACAGGAGAATCATGAACACTCAAAGGGCAACCAAGAGGTTCCTCAGACATTATATAAGGTTTAGGGTTTAGGGTTTAGGGTTAAGGGTTAAGGTTAAGGGTTTAGGCTTAGGGTTTAGGGTTTAGGGTTTAGGGTTTAGGGTTTAGGGTTTAGGGTTTAGGGTTTAGGGTTTAGGGTTTAGGGTTTAGGGTTTAGGGTTTAGGGTTTAGGGTTTAGGGTTTTTTCGGTTTAGGGTTTGGGGTTTGGGGATTTGGGGTTTAGGCTCCTGTAAAGGCTCCCCTCGACCGTGAAAACCCCCTCAGTCCCAAGATGAACCCTAAACCCTTAAACCCTAAAGCCCTAAAAACCTAAACCCTAAACCCTAAACCCTAAACCCTAAACCCTAAACCCTAAACCCTAAACCCTAAACCCTAAACCCTAAACCCTAAACCCTAAACCCTAACCCTAAGCCCTAACCTACCACTTGAGGGCCTCCGGCTCAAGCCCGAAACCCCAAAGCCGAAAACCGCAGGCATCTGGGGAGCCTCCATGCCGAGCCTGCCCGTGGCGCCCTAAACCCTAAACCCTAAACCCGAACCCCAAACCCTAAACCCTAGCCCTAAACCCTAAACCCTGGGATGCACTTGTTGAAATTGAGGCTTCAGGTTTGGGTCTGGGAGTCAGGGTTGTCGGGGGGTCATATCAGGGTTTAGGGTTTAGGGTTTCGGGTTTGGGGTTTAGGGTTTAGGGTTTAGGGTTTAGGGTTTAGGGTTTAGGGCCTAGCGCTTAGGGTTTAGGGCCTTGGGGGAGCTGGATTCGGTTCGTATACTGGCTGAGGAGACTGGGAGGTCTGACTCGGGTGGATTGGTTCAGGTTGGGCTTGGCATTCAGAGGGGGGGTTGAGGATTTAGGGTTTAGGGTTTAGGGTTTAGGGTTTAGGGCTTAGGGTTTAGGGCTTAGGGTTGAGGGTTGAATGGTTTGAAGGGCTTGCGACGTGCTGAGAGGCTGTGAGGAGATGTGCAGTGCGACTCAAGCTAAATCGTGCCCCAGTTGTGGCATCGTGGTTCTGCTGGCGTCAGTGTCAAAGTGAACCCGCAGCACAATCCCTGAGTCACGGAAGTAAGTATGCAGGAAAACCCGACTGCCTGCCACTTCTTTTCAGAGTCTGCCCAAACGCGTCCAATGGGCAGGGACTTTTTGCTACATGCTGGCCCTCTTGTCAGAGGTTTCCCGGCAAGATTCGGCCATAAACCCTATACCCTAAGCGTTTACCCCAAACCCTAAACGCTAAAGCCCTTTTGAACTGGGTTCAGGCATCTAGCAGTTACGGACTTGCGGCTGCAGTGGCTCTCGAGCGTCTGGCCATCCCCAACCCAAGCTAAAACCTTAGGCCTCTCCTATCCCTAAACCCTAAACCCTAAACCCTAAACCCTAAACCCTAAACCCTAAACCTGGGAAACCTTCCAGCCGAACTCTGAACGCAACTCGCCGTTGCGCTGCCATCCTCTCATGCTGGAGGATGAGATTGAGGGCTCCCGATTGCTGGTAACCTATCAACACTAAACCCTGAAACCCTAAACCCTGAAACCCCAAACCCTAAACCCTAAACCCGAAACCCTAAACCCTAAACCCTGAACCCTAAACCCTAAACCCTTCTTCAGGACGGCTTTGAAGAGTACCCTCCGCTCTCACGGGAGAGGACTGACAGCTCGTCGAAGCCGGTAGATTCGTCGAAGCTACGCCTCACAACGCTGTTAACGTTTAGGGTTTAGGGTTTAGGGTTTAGGGTTTAGGGTTTAGGGTTTAGGGTTTAGGGTTTAGGGTTTAGGGTTTAGGGTTTAGGGTTTAGGGTTAGGGTTTAGGGTGTAGGGTGTAGGGTTTAGGGTTTAGGGTTTAGGGTTTAGGGTTTAGGGTTTAGGGTTTAGGGTTTAGGGTTTAGGGCTAGGCTTGGGCCCCCCTAAAGCCTCAAAGGTTTTGAGGTCTAGGGTTTACAGAGCTATCGGGTCTCGGGAGTTTGGGTGCCCGCCTGAGGGCTCTGGACGCCAGAGGGACTTGGGTTCCAGACTTACATTCTGGGCCTTGCCACGCCCTAAACCCTAAACCCTAAACCCTAAACCCTCAACCCTAAAACCTAAAACCTAAACCCTAAACCTACCTTGAGTAGGAGGTCGACCTCCAAGAGCTTTTTTTTCAACGGAAAGTCGAGATCCTACACCCCGGCCGGAAAGTCCCCGAAAGTGGCGCCCGCGCAGGAGCCCACCCAACACCCCAAGAGACAACTTGGGACCCTGAATCCTAAACCCTGAACCCTAAACCCTTAACCCTAAAACCTAAACCCTTAACCCTAAATCCTAAACCCTGAATCCTAATAACCCTGAACCCTAAACCCTTAACCCTAAAACCTAAACCCAAACCCCAAACCCTAAACCCTAAACCCACGTCGTGCGTGTTGCGGGAGAAGGGGCTGGAAGACCAGATCCACCAGCTCCACCAGCACGATCTCCGCCGTTGTGAATATCTGCGAGGCAGATATATACCCATAAAAATGGAAAAGACCCTCTCATTTTTCAGATTTTCGGCCGCTAATTCTTATTCGCTAATTCCTATTCGCTAATTCCTATTCGCTATTTCCTATTCGCTAATTCCTATGCGCTAATTCCTATGCGCTAATTCCTATTCGATAATTCTTTAGGAAATGTTGGTTACCCCAGGATCGGCCGGAAAGTGGTCGATTCGTAAGATGTTTTAGCGCAGCTTTAAGATTTAGGGTTTCGGTTTAGGGTTTTGGGTTTAGGGTTTAGGGCTTAGGGTTTAGAGTTTAGGGTTCGGGTTCAGTACGCCCTAGACACTGGAAAGCCAAAAGCCCCTACCAAAGGCACCAACCACGCCAAAACGTTCCGATTTAGGGTTTTTTTTGCAACCCCAATGACCTCTTTTTGATGTCTAGCGCTTGCTTGGGGTTCTTGTTGCCCAGTCGGTACGCTTACACCCAGGAGTTCCTGCAGATGACGGAGGCCTCATGCTTAGCGATCCCAACTTTCAGCGCAGTGCTCGGACTTAGGGTTTAGGGCTTAGGGCTTTGGGTTTAGGGCTTAGGGCTTAGGGCTTAGGGTTTAGGGTTTAGGGTTTAGGGTTTAGGGTTTGGGGTTTAGGGTTTAGGGTTTCGGGTCTGACCATAAATTTTGCGAGCTGAATTCAAAAATCTCACACTCCCCCCCACCCCCCCACACCAGTGTCAAGGTCATGCACGGATGGCCTCACAGCCGGCAAGGACCTTAGCTGCGGGTTAGAATGCTACCCTACTTTGGAGTCTGAAAAAAAGTATATACTTTCTAGGTAGAAGTAGCTATGCCAGGAACCCAAAACCAAAACAGGTACTAAAGTATAGTACCCCAAAACCCAGACTAGTGTTTGGGGGCTGTTCAAAACGCATCCGCGCGGGGCTTTTCGAAAACCGAGCGCAGATTTGAAGCTTGGAGCCCTAGCGCCAAAAAAAACAGGAAAAACACCAGGGCAAAAACGCACATTCTTCCTCTTCAGACCTACATAAGCCCTAGCAGCCCCAAATCCTGAGCCCTAAAGCCTAAACCCTAAACCCTAAACCCTAAACCCTGAACCCTAAACCCTAAACCCTAAACCCTAAACCCTAAACCCTAAACCCTAGCCCCAAAGCCTAAACCCTAAATCCTGAAACCGATAGGCTCCCCCAACCGAATCCTTCTTCGCCCGGCCGCGTGGCCGCCGAAGGCTGCGCCCTCCTTGCATGGAGCCCCCTACCCAGACTGGTTTAGGGTTTAGGGTTTAGGGTTTAGGGTTTAGGGTTTAGGGTTTAGGGTTTAGGGTTTAGGGTTTTTGGGTTTTTGGGTTTTGGGTTTGGGGCCGCTTTGGGTTCAGGGCTTTGGGTTTCTGCATACCATGCTGAGGGTCTGGGCCGGGTGTGTATATGTGGATACATATTGTCTGTGTGCGTAAGGGTTTTGGGTTTAGGGTTTAGGGTTTAGGCTTTAGGGCTTAGGGTTCGGAAAATAAGGAACCCCTAATATAGTCCCCAAGAGAGTGGGAGTCCCTGATCTTACTTGCTTGTTCAGCTGATGATTCACTTATAGTTTTGGGTCAATTTACCTTAACATAATGTCGCTTCCTGGGATTTAGGGCGCAAGGGAACTCTGCAACCAAAAGAAGGAGGGCTCAAGTTTAGGGTTTCGGGTAAAAGGTTTAGGGTGCTCCCACGCACTTTCAACGTAGTGACAAAACCCTAAACCCTGAACCCTAAACCCAATCTCAGGGGCCGCATCTGCCACGGAGAGGTGGAGGTGGCCTTTGGCTCCCTCAGAGCCTCAGGTTCGGGGTGGGTTTGCGGGATTTAGGGTTTAGGGTTCAGGGTTCAGGGGTTCAGGGTTTAGGGGCGTAGGGGTTAGGGGTTAGGGTTTAGGGCTTAGGGTTTAAGGGTTTAGGGTTTAGGGATTGGAGTGTTTAGGGTTTTGGAGGAGCTGAGAAGGGCGGTAACTGCGCAGCACTACTCTTCGCTCACGGCTAGGGCCTGCGGAGTAGCTGCAAGTAACGAACAAAAATCAAGACCTCGGTGCATAGTTAGTAGGTCCTCTCCAGGGTGAGTTTCACAAGGGTTTAGGGTTTAGGGTTTAGGGTTTAGGGGTTAGGGTTTAGGGTTTAGGGTTTAGGGTTTAGGGTTTAGGGTTTAGGGTTTAGGGTTTAGGGTTTAGGGTTCAAGGATCTAGCCTGGGGTTACCAGCAACACCAGAAGCCCTACAAGCTCGCAGAAGGAAAGATCCTCTCCAACCCAGTAGGGCACAATAGCAAATGTGCCAGGGGCCTACCGCCCTCAACCCTAAACCCTAAACCCCAAACCCCCAATGTCCCCAAGGTGCCAGGGAGCTAAGGGTGCCCACCAGCGAGGTGATCTCGAGCCGCTGCTCGAATGTGCGCACCTGCCCGGGGGGGGAGCTTCTAAGTCGGAAGGTGGATTGGGGTTTAAGGTTAGGGTTTAGGGTTTAGGGTTTAGGGTTTAGGGTTTAGGGTTTAGGGTTTAGGGTTTAGGGTTTAGGGTTTAGGGTTTAGGGGGTTAGGGTTTAGGGTTTAGGGTTTAGGGTTTAGGGTTTAGGGTTTAGGGTTTAGGGTTTAGGGTTTAGGGTTTAGGGTTTAGGGTTTAGGGTTTAGGGTTTAGGGCTTCAATGAAAGGTTTCTTGTTCTGTTCTTGTGGGGTGTGAGGTTGCAGAACGTCTGAGTCTACGGAAGAGCTGCAGTTAAGGACGTTGGGGTGTTCAGGATGGAGGGCTTGTGTTTAGGGTTTAGGGTTTAGGGTTTCGGGTTTAGGGTTTAGGGTTTAGGGCTTAGGGTTTAGGGTTTGGGGTTTAGGGTTTAGGGTTTAGGGTTCAGGGTTCAGGGTTTAGGGTTTAGGGTTTAGGGTTCAGGGTTTAGGGTTTGGGGTTTAGGGTTTAGGGTGCCCATGAGCGGACCTCAAGATGCGTTAGACCCTTCCCAAGTATCTGATTGCCCATGCTCAGGACGTTTATGAGTCTGAGAATTCCCCAACCCGAAGCCCTCAACCCGGTAACCCTAAACCCTAAACCCCTCTACCCTAAACCCTAATCCCTAAACCCTAAACCCCTTTAACCTAAACCCTAATCCCTAAACCCTAAACCCATTTAACCTAAACCCTAATCCCTAAACCCTAAACCCCTTTAACCTAAACCCTAGTCCCTAAATCCCTAAACCCCTTTCGCGGAAACGGTCCTGAATCCTCAACAGCACAGGCCACCGTGAGCGCCGAGATGTCCTCTTTTTCAACCAGAGGCTCCATTACGCCCTTTGACTGACTGAAAGACTCCCAAAACCGTAAACCCTAAACCCTAAACCCTAAACCCCAAACCCTAAACCCTAAACCCCAGGAAGATTTAAGGGGCACTTGGTTTTCTCGCCCCTTTTGACAAGGAGAGCTGGGGCGCCCGGCCGGGTTCGGATTCGAGCGGTCTGCATTGGCAAGCCGCAGGACTGCCTCAGGAAGGCGCGGGCTTCCACAGGATCTAGTGTTTAGGGTTTAGGGATAGGGTTTAGGGTTTAGGGTTTAGGGTTTAGGGTTTAGGGTTTAGGGTTTAGGGTTTAGGGTTTAGGGTTTAGGGTTTAGGGTTTAGGGTTTAGGGTTTAGGGTTTAGGGTTCAGGATTTAGGGTCTAAGGTCTAGGGTCTAGAGTCTAGGGTCTAGGGTTTAGGATTTAGGGTTTAGGTCTTAGCATGTAAGGTAGCCTGGCAACACGCACAAATACAGGCAAGACGACAAGGTACACAGCCAAGAACTAAGCCTTTGGGTTCTCAGGTTGGGCATCGGGTCTAACTAGTTCATGGTTGGGATGTTAACAGTTTATATAAAATTCTATTCCTTATTGAGTTTAAAGTATAGGGCTTCGGGTTTCGGGTCACGGGCGGCGAAATGTGACGGTTGAGGAACCCCATGCAAGCCTCATCCTTCACGCTCAGTAGGGCTCGGGATGTTGCCCCCTTGTCCTAACGGTCCTCAACAGGGATTCTACTCGTACCCACTATCATAATCCTTACAGCGGACTGCTAGTACAAGGGGGGACATCCCAAAATACACAAACAACCCACCTAAACCCTAAACCCTAAACCCTAAACCCTAAACCCTGAACCCTGAACCCTAAACCCTAAACCCTAAACCCATCCCCCAAAGTAGGGCCTTGTTCAGGGAGCCTACGCAGCTCACCACTGCAGCGGCCCGCAAGTCATGCTTGGCAACGAAGTTGAGCAAAGACTCCTGCAATGAATCGGAGGGTGTTCAGGGTTTAGGGTTTAGGGTTTAGGGTCTAGGGTCTAGGGTTTAGGGTTTAGGGATACCATTGCTAACTTCAGGGCTTCGAGCCCACGCTCCCTGAACCTCCCTGAGACCTGGAACATTCAAGCTGCGGAACCTTCAAGCTATGTTGCTCAAACCCTAAACCCTAAACCCTAAACTCTAGACCCCAAACCCTAAACCCTAAACCCTAAACCCTAAACCCTAAACCCTGAACCCTCCGATTCGTTGCCCCAGATCTTGAAAGCATACACACAAAACCACACATCACACAATGCCTACAACACCTACACACCCAAAGTCCCAACCAACCTCCCCGCCCGCCCCAATTCCCAGAGAACGCCTACCGAACCCTCGAACCTGGAACCCTAACCCTCCCAAACCCCTCAAACCACCCCAAACCCCAAACCCTAAGCCCCAAACCCCAAACCCTAACCCCTAACCCCAAACCCCAAACCCTAGCCCTAAACCCCGAACCCCAAACACCAAACCCCAAACCCCAAAACCCCAAACCCTAGCCCTAAACCCCGAACCCCAAACACCAAACACCAAACACCAAACCCCAAACCCTAAACCCTAACCCCTAATCCCCAAACCCCAAAACCCCAAACCCTCACCCTACACCCCAAACTCCAAACCCCCAAACCCTAAACCCTAAACCCTAAACCCTAAACCCTAAACCCCTAGCGCCCTGAACCCTAAACCCTAAACCCTAAACCCCAAACCTCAACCCTCAACCCTAAACCCTAAACCCCCGGGCCTTCAGATCCTGGCCAGGGCCCAGCCGTAGCGCCCAGTGCCGGGCGGCAGAGGACGCCATGAGGTCGGGCACTGAAAGCCGGGGAGGTGATAGGGTTTAGGGTTTAGGGTTCAGGGTTTAGGGGTTAGGGCTTAGGGGTTAGGGGTTAGGAGTTAGGGTTTACGGTGGTCTCGCCGAGTCTCGCCTCTCAGGGGCTCCTGTGCGAGATCCACCTTTGGGGCCTTCAGGGTTTAGGGTTTAGGGTTTGGGGTTTAGGGTTTGGGGTTTAGGGTTTAGGGTTTAGGGTTTGGGGTTTGGGGTTTAGGGTTGCAGGGGTCACGGCTGTGCAGTGCAATCAGAATCTATGCTTCATGGCTGTGTCTGGTCCGAGCGTTCTACGGGAGCCGAACAAAAGTAGATCATGCCCGTCGAACCCTATGTGATGCTTAGGGTTTAGGGTTTAGGGTTTAAGGTTTAGGGTTTAAGGTTTAGGGTTTAGCGTTTAGGGCTTAGGCCTTTGGGTTTAGGGTTGTCCAACCACCGCCTTGGCGATTTGTTGCCCCTACAGGAGCCATGAGCCTCTTCGGCAAGGGCAACCTATAGGGTTTAGGGCTTAGGGTTAAGGCCTGAGGGTTTAGGGTTTAGGGTTTAAGGTTTAGGGTTTAGGGTTTGGGGCTTGGGGTGCGTCTGTGCGAAGGCGGGGAAGCTGCTTCAGCCGAATTTCATCCATCATCCATAGGAGGCCCTGGGTGCAGAAGGGTTTAGGGTTTAGGGTTTAGGGTTTAGGGTTTAGGGTTTAGGGTTTAGGGTTTAGGTACAAACGGCCCGACGCATCAAGTTGGAGGACGTCCTGCATCCCGCTCCCGCCTGGAGGCCTCTGACGGATGGACCTGCGGTACCACAAGCCGACATTGAAGCGGGCTTAGGGCTTATGGGGGGGGGGTTCGTAGTAGTCCTGCTATTGCTAGCATCCCCCAAATGACACCCACTCAAAGTAGCCAAATATACACTCACCCAAAACAGCAACAAACCCTAAACCCTAAACCTTAAACCCTAAACCCTAAACCCTCAACCCTGAACCCTAAACCCTAAACCCTGAACCCTAAACCCTAAACCCTAAACCCTAAACCGTGAATCCTATCTTGTTTAGGGCTGAAGTTTAGGGCGTAGGGTGTGGGGCGTAGGCGGACGTCAGCTTCACGGTTCAGGAAGTCTGGCCTTGAAGACCAGTTGTGGCTGAGGCATGAAAGGAATCTTAGATTCCTAGACTAGGGTTTAGGGTTTAGGGTTTAGGGTTTAGGGTTTAGGGTTTAGGGTTTAGGTTTAGGGTGTAGGGTTTAGGGTTAAGGGTTTAGGGTTTAGGATTAAGGGTTAAGGGTTTAGGGTTTAGGGTTCGAAATTCGGTGGGTTCCTTGACTGTTTTCGGGTTTAGGGTTGAAGGCTTGCCTGGGAGCCCTCAAGGTTTTGGGTCTACGCTTGAGGGCAGGGGTCTCCGCATGATACCTGCGAGCACCCCTGTACCCTAAACTCTAAACTCCAAACCCTAAACCCTAAACTCTAAACCCTAAACCCTCTCCACGAAAGAATGGTAGGAACTCCTGGACCTGTTTGAGACGTGACCCCAAAAGCTTAGGATTTCGGGTTGTTTCGGGTTTGGGGTGTGGGGGGCTTAGGCTCTTCGATTGGTAAGAACCAGAACTCCAATAAGGGCGAAGCAGTGGTTACGCACACGCACACACACACACACACACACACACACCTACACACCTACACACCTACACACCTACACACCTACACACCTACACACCTACACACCTACACACCTACACACCTACACACCTACACACCTACACACCTACACACCTACACACCTACACACCTACACCCCTACACACCTACACACCTACACACCTACACACCTACACACCTACACACCTACACACCTACACACCTACACACCTACACACCAACTTACAGCCCGCCTAGCTCCCAGGTTCGAACCATGGGCGGGTTTAGGGTCTACATATAGGGTTAACGAATGCATGGAAGGATCCCCTTATCATGAGGACACCAAAAAGGTACCCCCCCCCCCCCCCCCAAGATCGTAAACCCCCAGAGAGGGGTTTTCTTCTGACCCCTAAACCCTAAACCGTAAACCCTATACCCCGAAACCCTAAACCCTAAACCCTAACCCCTAAACCCTAAACCCTAAACCCTGGGAAGACTTGAAGCCGGGCAACCATGGAAGCGGCTGCAACTGAGCTGCCATGGGTGGGTGCCTTGCCGGGTGTGCAAGGGTTTAGGGTTTAGGGTTTAGGGTTTAGGGTTTAGGGTTTAGGGTTTAGGGTTTAGGGTTTAGGGTTTAGGGTTTGGGGCTGAGGGTTGAGGGTTCAGGGTTCAGGGCTAAGGTTCGTGACGTTTGAGTCCTAAGCCCTGCACAGCCTCAAGCGCTTGCAACCCCTAAACCCCTTCGTTCCGACCCTTCAAGGTCTCAACCTGTCACCCCCATCTACTATTTGCTTTTAAGAAGCCCACAAGAATGAAAAATGATGATCCCTATATTACCCTTAATAAGGAAGAATATTTTGCATTCTTTGGGGGTTCTTAAACAATTAGTAGCATTCCACCCAGTACACCTACTACGCCTGCTAAGTACACACTTTCGGACCCTAGAAACCCTCTAGAGCACGAGCCAAGGGGTTCAGGGTTCCGGGGGGCACAGCAAGATACACCCGAGGCCCTCTAGATGCTCAGGCCTTCAATTTCAAAAAGCCGAACCCTTACACCCTGAACCCTACATCCAACACCCTGAAACCGTAAAGCCTAAACCCTAAAGCCTAAACCCTCAACACGGCCCAGGTCTTTCACTTGCAGTGGGGCGCGTGGGTAGGCGCCTGGAACGTCGCTGGACCGATCCTTGCTGAGAGGCCAATCTGGACCTCAGGGTTTCCGAGTTTAGGGTTGAGGGTTTAGAGTTTAGGATTTAAGGTTTAGGGTTTAGGGTTTAGGATTTCAGGGTTCAAGGTTTAGGGTTTAGGATTGAGGGTATAAGGCTTAGGATTTAGGGCTTAGGGTTGAGAATTGGGGTGTGCAGGGTTTGGGATGTGGGGTTTGGGTCAGTTTGGGTGCTCAGGGATTTGGAAGTTCCGAGCCTAGAGCCTTTGGGGACTGCACAAGTTGGCATCAATCAAACGCCCCGTGCCTCTGAAAAAATAATGGATGCTTGGTCTGGGCAGCCCAAAAACCATATTACACTAAGGGCACCCTTTTTGGGCTGACTGTTTAAAAAGGGAACCGAGAAGAAGGTAAAAGGTACCACTGGGCCACCATGTGGTGCGCGGCGCCAACACTTTCCGCATTTCGGCCGGATGTACTTCACTCACACCCTTCGGAGACATGTCAATTCGTGAACATGGCCACCGTCCACTGGCATCGAATTCAATCACAACACAAGACGCCCTAAACCCTAAACCCTAGAGCCCAAAGCCTAAACCCTAGACCCTAAACCCTATAAGCCTAATGCCTGCAGCCTAAACCCTAAACCCTAAACCCCCTGTAACTGTGAGTCTGGCAGCCGCCGGTGAAACCGCCAGCGTGGGCTGAGGCAGCCTCAGCTCTCCAGAAGGCTTCGGGAACATACACGACCCTATACCCCACACCCAATACCCTGAACCCTAGCCCTAAACCCTACTAAATCCCTTAAACCCTAACCCTACTAAACCACCGAAGAAACTTGTAGCTGCATGAGTGTCAACGTCACGTCCGCGCGGAAACTTGCGTGTCCTGACATTCCATCGACGTGTGGGCACGGCGCACGCGCGCGCAACAATGCAGCGGCCTCTCCGTGAAGGGCGCGAAGCATACGGGAGGTTCACATCTGCGGAAGTATTTCCGTAAGGCTCCAAATAGCCCGAAGTAGGTATTACTTGCAGACGTTAGACTCCAGTGTAGGTATTTATTTGTATACTTGGAGCACTAGGGTTTGGGTAGTGCTTTATAAATTAGGGTCCTTACTCGGGGGTCCTGGCTTTATACAATGCCGTGCCATCTTGGTTAGGGCTGAGGGTCTGCAGGTAAGGTTAAGGTCTAAACGAGGGAGGACTGAGGGTACACCTTGCTGTCTTTCTGCACACCAATGTTGCCAGAGGCCGGAACGTTCACCTCTATAAGTTGCGCGGCATGTGGGTATTCTTTAAGATTGGGTTGTTTGGGTGAATTGCACGGCATCTGAAAACCCCATACACCCTAAACTCTAAACCAAAAAAGGGAACTTCTCGTATGGGCAAGGAGTCCAAGACATGAATGTGCCGGCATCTTGGCGCGCAAAGCAAGCCACAGGCGCAAAAAGTTTTAGGGTCTAGGGTTTAGGAACCCTAAACCCTAAACCCTAAACCCTAAACCCTAAACCCTAAACCCTAAACCCTAAACCCTAAACCCTAAACCCTAAACCCTAAACCCTAAACCCTAAACCCCGGGTTTCCGGTTTCGGGTTGAAGCCCAGCTGGCGACTTCCTGGGTGCATGTCACGAGCGTTGGCCGAGCCTTTTTCAGCCGCTTACCCAACAAAGGCCCTGCTTTCTCGAGCGAGTTTGGGGTTGAGGGTACTTTGAGTACTTCGAGTAGTTTAGAGTTTATGGTTTAGGGTTTAGAATTTAGGGTTGAGGGTTTAGGGTTTGGGGTTTAGGGTAAGCCCTAAACCCTAAACCCTAAACCCTAAACCCTAAACCCTAAGCCCTAAGCCCTAAGCCCTAAGCCCTAAGCCATAAACCATAAACCTGAACCTGAAGCCAGCAAGTATGAACTCTTTACGCGGATCTCAAGTTTCTGACTCGCCTCCAAAGAAACACAGGTGCCTGCGGAGGTCACTGCAACTATACAAGCCTTAAATGATTTCGGGGGCATCCCGCAAGGGAGTACAAGGTCTAAGGCGAAAAGGAGGGCCTGTAGAAGGGACCCTTCCCCTATATAACCCCCATAGAACCCCAATATATGCCTTATATAGTCCCTCTATACCTAAGTAGCCCCTAAATAACCCCCTAGGGTCCCTCCGTTAGTCCCATAAAGGTTAGAGAGTGGCCCACAACGCAGCGTTTCAGGCTTCTCGGTTTAGGGCCTTAGGGATAGGGTTTAGGGACTTTGAAAAGACAAGACTCTTATTTGGAGCATGAGATTCGAGTAGTGGTTCACTGGTTCATAGTTGGGATAGCAATAAAAATTTAAAATTCTATTCTTATTGAGTTTAAGTACCCTTAAAAATGTAAAATGTTATCCCACTATGACAAAGTTCAGGGGGTAGGGTTATAGAGTGTGAGGTTTCGGGCTGGTCTCCTAGAAGGGGCCCCCTCTTTTGGGCAACTTCCCTTCTTCAAGTTTCATCCGGGAAGCCAGACATGCTCCGTTTAGGGTTTAGGGTTTGGGGTTTAGGGTTTAGGGTTTAGGGTTTAGGGTTTAGGGTTTAGGGTTGATAGGGTTTAGGGTTCAGAGTCTAGGGCGGCGCACGCGATTTTCGGCTGCAGCAGGGGTGTTCCCATCGGGGGCCTGCCAGACAAAGACCGGGGGGAAGGGCTATAGGGTGTAGGGCTTTGGGGCTTTAGGGCTAGGGCTTTAGGGCTTTAGGGCTTTAGGGCTTCAGGGCTTTAGGGCTTGAGGGCTTCAGGGCTTTAGGGTGTCGGGCTTTAATTTCGGGCTTCAGGATTAATTCGGGTTTAAGGGTTGGGGGCTTTAGGTTTTCAGGGTTGTTTCTGGAAAGCGACCGTTCTTATCAGGGCAGGCTGAGGAAAGATGCAATGCAAGGGCAGTTCGCAGCTTCGCCATTGGATTCTGCACTGGGTGGGAAACGCTTTTGTGGCTTGTCGACCCACCATGGCCACCTACTACCTTATAGCCCCAAGTGGTGCTTAGGTGATTCAGGGCTCAGGGACCCTCAAGTTGAGGATCCTGACACCCTAAACTCTCCCTAAACCCTAAACTCTCCCTACTCCCTAAACCCTAATTAAACCCTCAACCCCAAAACCCCAAACCCTAAAGCGCCTAAAACCCCTATAAGCCCTGAACCCCCTGGGAGGAGGGCGCACCCTACGGTCGGCGCGACCCGCACTCGAGTCGGGGAGATCCTTGGCAGCTTGGGGTTTGGGGTTTAGGGGTAGTGTGTAGGGTTTAGGGTTTAGGGTTAGGGTTTAGGGTTTCGGGTTTAGGGTTAGGGTTTAGGGTTTAGGGATAGGAGTTATATACGGCGCCCCCGGTTTAGGATTCAGGGCAGTTTCGAAATCATGGGTTTCAGGGTACAGGGTTTTGCAGGCGGGTTTGTCTTTCTTTGTCCAGGGGGGGGGAGGGGGCAGGGTACCACTAGGGATTATAAGTTTAGGGTTTTGGGTTAAGGGTTTGGGGTTTAGGGTTTAGGATTGGGTCTACGGAGTAGCCGATCACGTGGCTCTTTTCTCATGGTCGGCCGACAGCTGGTCGAAGACTTCGCCCTGCTTTGCAGGAGGTGTGAGCTTCGGCCACATATCGATGCCGCAATCTGCCGGAGTCTGTCAAACTTCGCGCCTTGTGCCAGGAAACCTTCGAGAGGTAGAGAGCCTGAAACACCCTAAGCCTCAAACCCGGACACTTGGCCCAAAACACGACAACCCACCTCAACGTCAAAAAAAAACAAAGTCACAAACCCGAAGCCCTGAACCCTGAACTCTAGAAACCCTTAACCCTAAACCCGAAACCACTCCTAAACCCCAGTACTGGCACAAGCCACAAGCTAACCCAGCCCCTGCTGGTATCTACGATCGCTGCACCCCCTTTCAGGGGGCGCCGCGCGGATTCTGGCCGGGGGGGCCCGGAGGTTTTGCGATGTGTTTTTGTTGTTTCCTTGGGGGGGGGGGGGGGGGGGGGTGGTTAGGGTGGTTAGTGCGCGGGCTTAGGGTTTGATCCCTTTTTTGCGGGGGGGGGGGGGGGGGGTTAGGGCTGGTTTAGGGATTGGGGTTTGGGGTTTAGGGTTTGGGGTTGAGGGTCTAGGGTTAGGGTTTAGGACCCCAAAACCCCACCAATCGCTAAAATCCTACACCCTGGACACTAAGTCACTAAGCACCCATCACGAGCTAGAACCTTTCACTCTTGCTTAAGGGTAGGGAACTTGGGCTTTGCGGGTTCGGGGCTTAAGGGTTCCACCCTAAACCCTAACCCCTAAACCCGAAACCCTAAACCCTAAACCCTAAACCCTAAACCCTGAATCCTTACAGAGCTGAGCTGG